CCAGTGATTTGTTTTGTTGATTGTAATTTATGAAAAAAGTTGCTTCAAAGTGTTACTTAGTTTTGGTATGGTCAAGAATGTATAACACAAATATTTTTGTACTCAGATATGAACCTACAATTAGCTACTAACATAAAACAGAATTTTGCTTTTTTTCAAAATCAGCCTAGTTAACTTGAAATATAATTCATGGTAAAACTAAATAGAAAAAGAATTATTCCAAGTGAACATGAGATTTATTTTATTCTAGAAATAAGCCATGCACAGTGAAATAGAGGAATTATATATCTGTAATTCCAATGTAATATTACAAACCACTTTTCTGTAGATGATCAAATATTAAATATAATCACAAAACATTTTAATATTCATCTGGAATCATACAACCAGCTCAAGAAAACACTTGAAATTCTTCTACATAGCATAATAAGCTGGAGGATATATTACACTTGAAAAACAGTTCCAAAAATGAAATACTAAATATACAACATCGATTCTTAGTAATTTTGTTACAAGTAGTGAGTGAAAGCGTCTAGAATATGTTTAAGTAAGAAATCTTGTGATATAAAACAACTACCCTCATGTGTGGAAGTGCTAATGATTTTATACTAATAATAATTCTGATAGTATCAGATTTATTCTTAAATTTTTTTCTGAATTTAATTTGACCCTGAAATGCAAACATGTTTAATTCACTCTATGATACTTCATTTTTATTTTTATTTAGAGTGTAAATTGGCATACATACATATATAAATTTTACAGACAAGGGGTTGGCAATATAGCTCAGTGGTAGACAGCTTGCCTCACATATGTGAGGTCCTGGGTTTGATCTTCTATACTGCACACACACACACACACACACACACAAAGAGTACTTAGTTTTCAGTAATAATGATATGTTTTTGATACTGACTTATTATAGATCTTACATATATTTATTCATAATAGCACGGCTAAACATTGTGTTACAACAACATTCTTTAAATGCCTGTGTGCAAAATGGAATCACACAATTCGTGATCCTTCCCACTTAGGCTGTCTTGGGAAAGAGATTTTATATGAAGATTTTGACTGAAATTGACTGCTGTCCAATTGTAATCGAGGCTGATTCTCTAATATGTTTTGTCCTGTGTTACTTTGATTTCCAGTGTTGCACTGAGCAGCACTGAAAGGGCCACATGGAGAGGGAGGGCACAGATACAATGGCATGCATCCAAGGTGGCCCAGTCCTAGATTCCCTGTAACAGAGCTGTTGCCTCCGGAAGATAATTCACAAGACCCTCACTCATGCAGGCCCATGGGACCCTATCTCTGATATTTGTGGTGAAGGATTAAGCTCAGTTTCTCCCCAGATGACATCTAATTATGCTTTAAGTAGAGTCAAACTCTGAGGCCATTAATTTAAATCTCCCACTACCCAGATGAGTTACTATAGGTTTTAGAGTCTAAAAAACATAAAACTTTAATCTTATTGGATTTCTTTACTTGTGTAATAACAGGTGAAAGTTGCGTTTCTTCATCATAAGTGGTTGTTCATTCTAGGAACAGTGATAAGTTTGGAACAGTACTGCATGTTGTTAAGACTACTTGATTCCTTTTCCTCTAAAACCACACCCTTCCTCCAATCATGGTGTAAGTCTTATTTGATAAGAATAGTAATTCTATATGTAGGTCACGTGTCTGGTCGACATAAGAAGTTCACTAATTTCTTTAGCAGTTATGTGTCAAAAGAAATTTCAAAATAAAAAGCCAAGTAGTTTTACCTTTTAAAAACACATGCTCCCAAATGAATCCATTAAGAACTTAATTGTATGCCTTTTTTTCATCATCAGTTAATATTTATCAAATGTTCAACAGATCACTTTCTCCCTACTGGTGGATTTAAAAAATTTTTATTAACATATAATAGTTGTATAGGGAGCTAACTGTGATATTTACATATGTACGTACAATGCATCTTAAATTTACCCCTCCCCATCATTCTGCCTCTTTCCCCTTCCCCCTCTTCTTAGAACAATTTCAACAGGCTTATTCTTCCATTTTCATCTCTGAATACAAAATACATCTACCAGATTCACCCTCATTTACCCTTTCCTCATGCCCACCCTCTCCCACTAGTAGCCCCCTCCCCGAAAAGACCTGTTTTACTCTCCTGCCCTTCATTTTTTTTAAAGTGCATATTGGTGGTCCAAGGGGGGTTTGCTTTGGTACTTTAGTCCTGTATATATCATGCATTAATGAAATTAACTCCCTTGTTACTTACTCTTTCTCTATCACCATGCTCCCCTAAAATTCAACAGCTTATAGTTTAGTACATTATATTTGCATATTTTTCATTCTCTAACATTTCTACTGGTAGATTTTTTTTATCAATCACATTCCTGATAGTCAACATAGCCAACATAAGCACATTAGTATTTTCTACTGGAGGGTCTTCCCACGGATAACCCTAAAAAATAGGGTAATGCAAAACATTTACTGTTAACAGTAAGTCTTCATTTGACATATCTCAGGTGTTCTCTTTGGTCAAGAAAAGGAAAGTTCTCTTTCCCAGAACACTTTCTCTTCATGGCCTACAGTTTCATTTCTTCTGAAATAGATAGGCATGACTTTTCCAATTTGGAATGTTGTTTTGGGTTACATGAATGCCATTTCTGGGTATACAGCAATAAGAAGGTTCAGCACTGGATAGATTAAATTTCTCCAACTAAAACACAGAGAATAAGATTGGTATTTGCCTATTGCAGAAATAACACCCAGATCTTTTCATGTCTCCTCACCCATTTCCTCCTGGCTCATTTAAAAGGGGAAAACACAGGTGGGCAAATTGATTGTGCACCTTATTTGAGAGATGCTTCCAGAAATGAGGTCAAATGAAGTTGTTTTACTTAGGGTATATGCCAACATTTTGCAACAGAATCTATATGAAAGCCCTAACATTACTATTACAGAAATGGATTGAGTAAAAGTGAGTTCATCTTTGTTCCTGTTCAAAAGGTTTTAGTTTTTGAATAATCAAAGAGAAGTCATCAAAAGAGTTGAACATCTCACAAAGACAGGCTTATGTCTATTCTGCTGTAATTCAAACAATAAATGCACTATTAACTTAGTGGATAGCTGATGTCGAACAGTGCCCTTTAAGAGACCAATTTGTTATTTTTATTCCATGTGTCTTTCTTTTTTTTTTTTTTTGGCAGTGCTGGGATCAAACCCAGGACCTTGTGTATACTCAGCAAGTGCTTTACCACTGAACTACATCCTAACCTTACTTGTTATTTTTAGAAAGAAGAATTCTAAAACCTAAGAGGATAGTCACTACAGAATACTTACTTGGCAACATTTTTAGATATGTCAACCAGGGAGACTAAGGGCTGAAAATTTGGAATCAAAAGGGGTGAAGTTGGTGGTTCCAGGTTATCACACTGCCATCCAGCCCACAGTCTCTTATCTACAAATTTTAAAAAATAACCTCCCCCAAAAAACCCCAACAATACTACTAAAGACTATTACTTCCTCTCAGAGATGAAAAATATTTGTGATGTATCCTTAAATTATTGCATGATCTCTGAGAACCAGCCAGACGAAACAGCTAAGGGGAAAAAAAATCCCGAGTCCCATTAATGAAAAATGCAATATCAACAGCCAAGGAGGGTTATAATGTATTTGTTTAGAAATGAAAGAAATTTGTGTTCTTGGCTAACTTTGGCTTACCTGCATTTAAAGGAAAGCAAGTTCTATCTTTATGCTGGCAAACTTTAGTCAGGCAGGAGGAGTCAGGCTCAGTGGCCGCTGGCAATGCTTTCCAAGGAATCAGCAGATCCATATTTAAATTTTAGGATTTTCTATCCCAGACGTGAAACAACCAATTCTAGTTAATGAAAAACAAGCAGGAAAACAAAGCTGCACATTTTAAAGGTCGCAGGAGTATAATAAAAGCAACTAGTAGCATGTGTATAGCACTTTACAGTTTATGGAGCTCTCTTCACACATTGAATTTCATTTAGTGCTCACAACAGCCCTGTGAGGTAAACGTTACCAACTCCTCTGTATAGCCAAGGAAACAGAGATGTCATGTTTTTAACTCGCCTAAAGCCATATATTTTATAATATAGGAAAACAGAGGAGATGCAGAACAGTTCTCTTTCCATCACCCTCACCCCACCCCCACCTTTTCTCTATTCTCAAACTGTTGAGTGGATGGGAGATTGGAAGGAAATGCTAGACCCTTTTTAGTTAAACATGGTGAGGAGGCATTTTATATGCTGAATCACTCTCTAGGATACTCTTGTTGGTGAATCTGGATTCACCAAATATGAACTTAATGACTGTGTTACCATTCAGAGTAAAACAGGACACCTTGTAACATGAGTTAAATATGTGCACAGTGTTTGAGAGATAGTCTACAGACTACCTCAGGCAATCATTTTCTACTCTTCTACAGAACTTGGGATTTCTTACAGAAATCTGACTTTAAAACAATCTTGCAGTGGGAAGAAAAAGCTATCACCAGCCTCTTCAAGACATTTTCTCTAACTTTTGGCATCTTAGTAAACATGTTTTTCAGAGCCAATAAAACATGAGGAACCTAAAGGAGGACACTTCACTTATCACGTTGTCATTTTAAATTCAGGGTGATGTATAGCTCCTAACAGAACTTTCTCATTTTCACTTTGAAGAAGCCACCTCTCATATCTCTCCAATGCACCATGACCAGGTCAGCTCTTGGGACTGTATTTGATGATGCATAAATTGATTTTATTGGAAGGAAACACAATTTCTCTGAAGTATCTTCTAAAGGATGAGCTCACTTGGCACATATGCCTCTTAAACCAATTAAGCCTTACTTATGTCAGAAATAAAGATAAAAACCAATCGCAAAATATAAAGCAGAGATGATTATGATTTTCCTTCAGAAATATATACATAACTCCTGTTATATTTCTGGAACTCAGGCCCATACATTTTAGTGTAGTTTAGATATAAAATGATTCATAGTTTTTGGTCAGAGCAATGTTGAAAATGCAACTAGAAACAAAGACTTGTACCCGATGAGCTGATTTAAGCTTATCTCATATAAGCTTATTTGTTCTTATGATTTCTAGCTGGATTCAGCTAATGGACCAAAAAGTCAGTTACAAGAGTCAGGCTGTATGAAAGTGGGCTCAGGTTGAAACAGGAATGAATTTGATGGACTTGGAAGATTTAGGCGAGTCTTTCCATGTGCCGGTACTGTTTGTGGGGCTTCGGTTGTTAGAATAAGAAGTCTGCCTTCTGCTCATACTGTCGGTTTCTTCTTTGTTGAATTTTTGCTTCATGTTTCGGCAGCATGGGAAGCTTTGGACACAGTCTTGCAAGAGGTGGCCACTAAAAAACATGTATATCCAAGGATTGCAGCAACTATTCAAGGAGGCCAATAATGCAGTGATGGTGATAGAAGGGTTTTCTGAATCTGTATGAAAAATATGAAGAGAATTTATTTAAATACTTAAAGTAGGAAACTGAGCACTGAAAACTCATTTTTCTATTGGTTAAATAAGAAAAATAAGTTACAGATTCAGGAACTATTTTGTTTATTAATCATGGAAATGAGTGGTGTTTGGAAATTGCTTGATCGCAAAATTTTTTTTGTAAAATGCTTTACAACTAATGCAAATGTTTTTATGCCACTATTAAAATATTTAAATAGAATGTGTGGGAATTTCAAGAAGGCTAAGGCTATTAAATATTTCATTAAAAATCTCTGTAAACTTTACAGTACATGAACATGTGCTACTAGACAAAGCATTTACAGAGTGGGTTAGAATTTTAGTTAAATTTCACCTCTATGATCACATTTAGCAAATAGTACTCATCCTAATAACTCAGGCAAAAGTGAGGCAGTATGAACCATGTTTAGTAGTTTTAAAGATTTAAACATTGAACATGTTCTTGTAATATGAAAACCCCATGGAAAAGAATAGTTGAAGAATGCAAGCAAGCTTTAGTTGTTTTTCTGTGAATAATTACAAATTTGACTTGATTTTAAAGAAGACTGTCTTTGCGGCTCACACAAATAATATTAAGAACATGCAAAAGGATTCTGAAATATTTTATGTTAATTAGCACTGGTAAAGTGCATAAATATCACAACCTTTCACAGTGAAATTATTGCACTGATAACACATTTGATAATATGCTTTTTCTAAAAGTAAGAATAATCATCAATCATTGACTTTTACTTGAGTAGTGTATAAATTTGGGTCTTCTCACTTTGTTATGCAAGAATAAGATTATTTAGTATCTTGTGTGAGACGTTGGTAAAGATTATCATGATCCATAACTGACTGTATTAGAAAAGAATGACATGTCTATGTACAAGTAAGATTTTAGTGTCTGAATCTTAATAAAACAATAGACTAAAGCTTTTATTTGATTAGAAATATTAGAGGCTTCTAAGATCAAGTAAGACAGGAAATGGTAAATAAAAATAGCTTGCATTTCATTTCTCAATATTGCAAACACACAAGATTTTTAAATTAAATTCATATTCAAATCCTTTATTTACAAATAAAACTCCCCAAATATATTGTATATACTCACTACCTCAATCATAAAAACAAACAAAAAATGGCTTCTTCCAGATAGCTATTTCCTGACTACAGTTGTATCAGAAATATTTCTGTTATATATTTGGTTTGACAAAAAATTTTTCTTACTAAACTATTCTTCAAGGTGCAAAATCAAATAATATTTTTTCTGGTAAATCCCTGTGAAATTATTTTTCTATTTTGTGGAGGAACTAAAGTCAAACAACCTAGTAGATGTAGAAAGCACTGTCAGTAAACTATTCCAAGATTGGGGTGGAATGAATAGCTGCCTGGTTAGATTAGTACTGAAAGATTAATGAGTTCATCTAAAAAATTTAGTTTATCAATCATCCTGCTTTGAAATACCAGGAAAAAGAAAATTATTACTGCTAGAAAAATCAAAGGATTATAATGAGAAAGGGAACATGAACTAGGAGCCAGTTTAGAATTCTTGACTTCTTAAGAATCTATTCCACTTTTTTAAAGAAAAAAAAAAGTTCATTTTTACCCTTGCCCAAGGAGAATATCTGCAAAATTTTTGTATTAATTGTAATACTTTTCACTATCCACCAAAAAGCAGTTATCACAGCAAAAATACTTCCCTGAATCCCAGTACGTTTAAAAGCAGTTAGTGATTTGGCAAAAAAAAGTCATTTTTCTGTTTTGAAGTTAGTGGGTGACAGTAGGACACAATTTCTGGATGTGTGGTGTAGGATCTCCATTGCACGCTATAATTGCGGCTGGATTCCATTGCAGAAATACTAGATTATGATGACTGGAGTGGAGACAATTTTTTAAATAACTTTTTCCTGGAGATGTGCATCTTATGCATGTAGAAGTTTAAGAACTATTGAGAGGATATCATGAGGATAAAATCTCTCTCTCTCTCTCTCTCTCACTCACACACACACACACACACACACACACACACACACAGCCTCCCCTGTCCCACCTACCGGTCCAGATGAACTTCTCATCCCAGACTGACCACATCTGGATGATGAAGAAAGGTGCCCAGCAGAGGATGTAAGCCGTCACAATCACAAAAGTCATCTTCACTGTGCGGATCTTGGCGCGGGAGATGGTCTTCACACTGCTGACAAAAGGTGCAACCAGAAGCCCCTTATGGAAGGCGCGGGCTGCTTCCCCTGCACCCTTGCTCTGGCGCGACGCGGTCTTTCCGCGGACGTTGCGCCAGATGTGGTAGCAGATGAAACCGTAGCAGGTAGCCAAGATGACCACGGGTGCCACAAAGATTCCGCTCGTCATCCAGGTCACATAGGCGCGGGTACCCCAAGGCTGGATGAAGGTGGCCCAGCAGTCTTGGGCCTTGGTGACATTGTTCACCTCGATCATGGAGAAGATGAAGTACTGCGGCGTGCTCAGCACGAAACTCAGCACCCAAGAGGCGGCGATCATGAGGCGCGAGCGGCGTGCGGGCTGCTGCAGAGTCTTCAGTGGGTGGCACACGGCGATGTAGCGGTCAGCGGTCATGACCACCAGCATGTAGGCGGACGCGAACATGGCGAACACCTGCAGGTGCTTCACTACTCGGCACAGCCAGTCAGGTCCGCGGAAGCGATAGGTGATGTCCCAACACAGCTGCGGTAAGACTTGGAAGAAGGCGACAGCCAGGTCGGCCAGGCTGAGGTGTCGGATGAAGAGATGCATGCGGGACGTCTTGCGCGGGGTGCGGTGCAGCGCCAGCAGCACGCTGCTGTTGCCTAGCACGGCCACCACGAAAGTCACCGCCAACACAGCGATCTCCAGCTTGGCCAACTCCTCATTGCGCACGTCCTCCGGCGGGCTGCCACCTTCCCGTAGCCCATCCGCTTCCAGGCTCCTGTTGGCACCTTCGGCAGCAAGAGGCCAGGAGCTGCTGGAGTTGCCCACAGCCCCCACGTCGGAGTCTCCTCTGGAGAAGCGCATTCTGTCAATGCAGCGCCTCCGAAGTCCTGGCCCGAGCGGGCCACTCTATTCCTGCCCGGGTGGACTTGTGGTCTTTGCCCCAAGCGCGCTGTCCTTCCCGCGCTCACCCGGCTCTACAATCTCTTCTGCTCGCCTCCCACCCGCCCACCGAGCACCTTTCAGTCTGGTGCTCTGGTCCCTGTACCTGCTCTACCTTTTTCCAACTTCAGTGATGTGGATGGAGGTGCGCTCCGAGCTTCTAAAAGCACCCGGCTGCGAAGCCAATTATTTAGGCGGAATTTGCTTCCTCCGGAAGCCCTTTCTCTCATCCTAGTGGCTGGAGATTGCTCCTGCCCCCTTCCGCCTTGTTCCACCCCACCTACGTTGGTGATCAGTCCTCTTTGCATCACTGCTGAAGGGGTGGGTCTGGGAAAAACTCGGATTCCTCTGCATAAGTAGGCGGGATCGTGGCGCTTTCCCGCTCTTCTCTTTAAAAAACTTGGAGAACTGGGCTTGTCACGCCTTTTCTGGGTTCCTCACAGTTTTCTCAAGGCTCCTCCCTAGCCACCTTAACCACATATTTCATTTAAACTTGCAATCTTGAAATCTCGGGTCTACTTGTTCCCCCCGCCCCCACCCCACCCCACACCCACCCTCCGGGAACTCGCACTTGAACTTGGCGCTCTACCTCCCGCGCTCCAGTCGGGGTTTTTCTGTTTTGAGAACTCATTCCTGGGCAGCCAGGGTGGCTGATTTTTGTTCCCGGGGCAATTTTCCTTCGGGAATTTCATCTCTTCCGCCTCACTCTCCCCCACCCATTTCTGCGGGGTAACAACTGCGTGACTTAAGTGGAACACTCTTCCCAGTGTGGATGGTTGCGTTTGCGGACGGGAAAGACTCATTTGTCCCTCTCCAGCTCTTTGGTTGTTATGAGTGTATCTATGCCCTGTAAAGGAACGTCTCCGACTTCCCAGCTGCCCGTGGGGCCTGGGGACTTAAGAAGTTTTTTCTAGATTCTAAGATTTTCTCCGGAAAGTCTGGTTCCCACAGGTGGGATGGCGACAATTGCACCGCACTGGTCAGTGGAGACTCTTGTCTAGTTACTCCTGAATGCTAGGGGCGGATCAGCAGTCCAGGGAATGGAGGGGAAAAATGTCCAGGCTCCTGCGCTCTAGGGTGATAAACAGGAATGTCCAGGAGGGAAAGGGACGCTCGGGAGGAAGAGAGAAAACACCACCTACCCATTGATTATTTACTCTGGACAACGGACACCCTGCCGCGGGGCCCCAGACAGACAGAGAAAAACTCGCTGACTCTCCATCAGCTCTACCTTTGGAGAAGGTATACTTCAAAAGACAGCAAGGGGGAGCTGTTTCCAGGCTATTTAACCAAGAAGGAAAAAGAAAAAGAAAAATGGAAAAGAAAACAAACAAAAATCCCACTATACTGTTATCTACTATTTAGATACAAAACATGACTTCGTTGGTCAGAACATCTGTGCTTTCTGGTGAGATATAACTTTGATTATCTCAGAAAAATATCGCCCTCGGTGGAATGCAGGCAGAAAAAAAAAATTTCACAATTGCAGTTCTCAGTTATAATTCCACTCAGCCATCCAGTTTATGTACCAAGAGTCTCCGGGATTGTCACATTAAAAGAGCTGAAAGAAAAAAAAAGAGCACTGAACTTGAAATTTGGAGTCCTGTTTCATCGTGGTTATATAGGCCCTAGTCTATGCGTCTTAAAAACGGGAAAAGTATTTGTCCATTCCTACTTGTGAGGTTATTGGGAGGCTCAAGAAAGGCAAGGTTCTGTGTGGAGAAATCTGTGTTGCAGGGGTTTATTTTTTCCCACAATATCTAAGAAGTAAAAAATGGTTCAGCTGTGATAGTAAGTAAAAGGTTCTAGACCTCTTATTTGGAAAAATCCTTCAAGTAATTGGATTATAGTCACTGACTCAGAGAGGTCACCTTTTAAGGTACACATTAAATTATTAGTGCCCCTTATGAGAAATAATGTTGACTGACCCTAGCATTGCCTGGGTATTAAAAAAGTTGTTCCTTGGCTAGAACCTGGCAATTTTATAACTCTTGGGCCTATACAATTGAATTTTAGGTATCCTCAGGGGAGGGAATCTGCACTACAGGGTCACCAAGCTTTTTGGGGGTGTTCTTAGTCCCTAGAGATTGTGTGTAGTGGCCTCTCATGAAATCACTCAATCTGATCCAATAATCAAACTCTATCCAAATATCCACTTAAAAAATATAATCTGTTAGGTTACAGCAGTGAATATAATTGGAAGATTTTATTTACTGACAACTGTTCTAATTACCCATAAATATATGTGACTATGCTTTTCAAACATACATACACACACACACACACACACACACACACACACACAAAACTCTAAACGTGTTTCTAGTCAAGCATGGAAAAATATCAGTCTTCATGATAGTGTTCTTCAACTCTACAGGGTAAAATAAAAAATGAGAACAATGTTTTGTCCTAAATTATTGGGCTATATTTTCTTATGTGATTAACTGTAGGGGAGTGCAGAGTTATCACACTATAAAAAGGCTATCATGTTCAACAAAATTTTAAGTATGCTGATGTTTTTTGATGAAAAGTTGAATCTCATCATTTGTGTAAAACAAAAATTTCATTTCTAAGTCAACTTTTACATATTTGTAGAAAAATCATGATAAAGGAAAAGATTTCCAAAATCAGTGTTATTTGTATCATATGTCCAGAAACCCATTCAAAATTTCTGTGGTTGTTTTAATTAAAGTTTTCAAATTTTTTAGATTATTTAAATGTTAAGTTTAAGACTTTTTTATTCTAATAAACCAATATTACCTTGGGCTTTCTGCATATTAATGGTCAGCATCTTTAATATTCTGTCTAGAATTTGATAGTCATGAAGACTCATTGCTTTATAAAACTGGCAACTTTGAGTCTTTTCATTTTTTGCGAAAAGACTTTTGTGTTTTCATTTGTTCTTTTTTTCAGAAGAGACAAGGAATGTACTATTTAAAGGGAACTAACATCAGGAGTTGTGATACTATTGGTTTTTTTGGCTTGAGTACTATTTTCATAAAATGAATTGTTTTCTATCCTTTTTACTTTTCCTATTTTCTTCTTTAAGTTGGACGGGGGTTAGTTTATTTTTAAAAATATGTTCTTTTTCTGTTCTTATCCCAACTCCTAACCTCCTCTGTGTGCCACATTACATCCTTGCCTGAAGCTTCAAAATTTTCCCAAAGCCTATTCTTTTCCTTTCACCTGGAACATTCTGCATTTTATTTTCTATTAGGATTTTTATGGTGACAATTGCATATTTACAGTATATCTCTGGGTGAAGTAGACATGGTACTTGAGAGGTTAAATAAATTTGTTCTGCAACCTCAATGGCTGTGTGAAAATCTCTAAGAATTAATTTCTCTGAATATATTTAAGTGTATATTAAGTAAAATACAATAGGGTTGAAATATTTGGGACATCACCACAGCATTTCCAAATAGACTTTTGTCTAAAAATGTTATTTGATTATATGGTAAATAAAAAAGAAGAAATAACAATATAGACATCATTATTACAGTTTCTTAAGTATCTGCAATAAAATGGAGGGATAGTTTTTATTCATTACTACATTAAAATAATTAGTTAAGAAAGAATCAATATTTAATTGATGTTTAGAGATGGCTTTTACACCTTCATGGGTCTTTGCTTAACCCTGTTTTTGACTAGCCCATCCGTGTTCCCTAAAACCTCCAAATGAGAACCTAGTCTGGCTAGCATCCTGGTTTTGGCCTTGTAAGGCCCTAAGCAGAGAATCCAGTTGGGCAATGCCAGACTTTTGACCTTCAGAACTGTGGCTATTTGTTGTATTAAGTCATTGCATTTATGGTAATTTCTTATGTAGCAGTAGAAAATTAATAGCTTGTTAGAAACTTTCATAATTAAGTATGGCTATTAAAAATTAAGGAAATTAATAAAAAGAAAATCTATAGCTTCCAAGTTAGTTAAAGACTGAAATGGAATGTAATAACCTTTATCAACCCAATGGAAGTCTGGCAGGGAGAAATAATTCATAAAGCAAACTTATGAGCTACAAAAGAAATAGAAATGAATCAGTAATAAGAGAATTGAATTTCTCTTAGCTTGTAACAGATTAAGTAGACAAAAAATGAGTAAGGATATAAAAAACTGCCAGGTGCTGGTGGCTCACACTTGTAATCCTAGCTACTCAGGAGGAAGAGATCAGGAGGATCAGGGTTCCAAGCCAGCCAGGTCAAATAGTTTGCAAGAAGACCCTATCTCAAAAAAAAAAACAAAAAACAAAAAAACAAACCCATCACAAAAAAGTACTGGTGGAGTGGCTCAAAGTATAGGCCCTAAGTTCAAACTCCAGTACCACACACACACACACACAAACCTCTAAAGGATATGCTTACTAAGTTATAGCTAATTGATATACTATATCAAACCTGTGTTTTAAAACCAGAAAGTATACCCTGTTTTTGTATACTTAAATAATAACTACAAACTAATACCAGTACATACAACTCTATCAATATACATTTAAACTAGAAATTAATAAAAGAATAAAAAAAGCTGAGTACACTAACCAATCAGATTTAAAACAAAGTAAAAATTAAACAAAGAAGTCCTTATCAATCAAATCTTGGGTTAAAGAAAATTCAAATCAAATTACAGACTATCAAGATAATATTATTATTATTATATGATCATATAACATACATCCAATACTATTATTTTATAGATATTATATACAATATATGGTGGCAGGTGTTTGAGCTTCCTGAGGAAACAATGCATTAGATAAAATCTGAGTTATTCACAGGTGAGACTCATCACTCTCTTCTGAGAAGTTCTGCAATCTATTCCCAGCAAAAAGGCAAACAATAGAATCAAGTCCCAACTGCAGCCCATCTCACACAAGCCTTCAATGAAAGAATGACTGTCCCCTCTCCCAACTTGCTCAACACACAAAATGGAAATACTGTGCTTCTACAGAACAGATATTAGAGGAAGCATGGGTAGCAATGTC